TACAGGTTGGCAATCTTCACTCATTCACCCATCTCCCTGCTGTGTACTTATGTCTTTGCGTCTATTATGGCGCAGGACAGAGCACTTTACAGTTCAATATGCCAGAGCATTCATCCCTTCCTGCCTGGGTGTTATTGGCATGTGGCAAAGCACACATTACCTCGGACATGCACCTGGACCTGCTACCAACACACATGTGCTTCAGGCATATGGAACAACAAACTAGGTGGATAGAGCACATCCAATAATCAAGGCAATGCTGAGAAGCCAGCGGCCCACCGTACAATGCTACAAAACATGCATGTTTTTGTGCACCAGTCGAGGATAAACTCGAGTCTAGTCTGCGGCAAAGGACCCATATATGCAACCACGACACCACTGGTGCTCCCTCAGACAAACCTATTACGGGCACCAGAGAGGCATACCCATATACCTAGGTATATAGAACACGTGATTCTGTGCACATTGTATGTCTGCATGTGTGTAACTCTTGATATAGTTGTGTGCAGTGGTGTTCACTCGAGCAGTTTCCGTGTCTTACAGAGCACCAGTGGTATAGTAGTAGCATAGGTCCTTGCCACGGACCAGACCCGAGTTCGATTCTCGGCTGGTGCAGCAGTGACTCGCATGTTTTGAAGCATTCTACGGTGAACCACAGGCATCTCACTGCCTTCATTAGTGCATGCACGCCCCCATGCATGTGCACGATCCTCCATACCTACTTCGAATTTGTTGTCCCACATGCCCGAAGCGCGTGTGTGCTGGTTGCAGGTCCAAGTGTATGTCCTGGGTATTAGGTGCATTGTTGCATGCCAATAACACCCAGGCAGGAAGGAATGAATGCTATGGTGTAGTGAACTTTAAAGTGCTCTGTCCTGTGCAAATAGATGCAAAGGCACACGCACACAGCAGGGAGACAAGCAAACAAGTGAGGGACTGCAAATAAAGTGCAATACAGCATATGTGTATGCATGTATATGTGTACATATGTCATCCATCGTCATGCGTGTACACGGCTGGCCACAAACAGGATTACATATGCCAGGTTTTCTTATTAGTGCACTCTGTGAGTGCAGTAGTGCAAGTACAGCTCTCCATCCATCATAACCGACCTTAGCTTGCATTCAAAGGTGCTAGCACCAAATCCATAGCTCCATGATTAAGAGATTTGTAGGGAGCACCATACACTCGTTGGATTAGAATACATGTATCCAGCAGACACACACACACACACACACATAAACACATAAACACATGTGTCTAGGTGCATGTACATG